TGTTTGGCTGGAAACCACAGGAGTGAGTTCAGTTCCAGACCTGAAGGGTAACTAGTGGCCATAGTCTCAGGGGTCTCACCAGGCTCTATCAGACCAGCAAAACTGGGCTTTTTTTTTTTTTTTTTTAATGATTTTGAGTTGTGTTCCACATTGTTCTCCCAATCTATCCAGGATCACCCACATAGATCCTTCTCTGAGTGATTGACAGTGGTAGCTGGGCACCATCTAGTTCTTCTGGTCTCATAGTCATATAGGCTGAGGTTCTTTGTTCTAGATGAGAAGACTCATCATTGCATCTAGATGGTTGCATGCAAGCTTTTAAGATCCCTGTTGCTACTTGCCAAAGTACGATATGGAACAATGTTTTTGTTTAGTTGTTGTTGTTATGTGCTGTTGAGTCAGACCTGACTCATAGTGACCCCTCCTTGGGTTTCCGAGGCAGCATCACTACGGAAGTAGATTGCCTAACCTTCCTTCCGAGGAGTGGCTGGTGGCTTTGAATTGCCAGCCTCTTGGTTAGCAGTCAAGTGCCTTAGGCACTATGCTACCAGAGTGTGGTATGCCAATTGAGCTTGACATGACCATGGTCCCAAGCACACAGGTCCAACTGCTTGCTTTCCCTGCATGGATGGCTGTGGCCAAGAAGTGACTACAACCTTTTTGGTTAGGACTGATTTTGTTGGTACTTTATTATTATTATTAGTATTGTTATTTAATGACCTGTTTGATTTCTTATTTTGTTATGAGTATGTTCAGATTTTCTACTTCAGTCTGTGTTAGTTTAGATACACTAAATCTAAATCTTTAGGTGTGTTTCTAAAAATCTGTCCATTTCTTCTAGGTCTTGAAATTTGTTGGAGTATGGTTCTTAATTGCTGTTGTTGTTAGGTGTCATCGAGTCAGTGCTTACTCATAGCAGTGCCATGTACAACAGTACAAAAAACTGCCTGATCCTGCATCATCCTTGCAATTTATGCTATGCTTGAGCCCATTGTTGCAGTCATAGTGTCAATCCATCTTGTTGACGGTCTTTCCCTTTTTTGCTGACCCTCTACTTTACAGAGCATGATATCCTTCTCCAGGGAGTAGTACCTTATGACAACATGACTAATGTAGGTGAGACAGTTTGGCCACTCTCACTTTCAAGAAGCGTTCCAGGTATACTTCTTCTGTGATCGGTTTGTTCATTCTTCTGACAATCCATGGTATTTTCATTGTACTTCACCAGCATCACAATTCAAAGGCATCAACTCTTTTTTGGTCTTGATTATTCATTGTCCAGCTTTCACATGCTTATGAGGCAGTTGAAATAGATGGCTTGGGTTAGGTGCACCTTAGTGTTCAAAGTGACATCTTTGCTTCTTAACACTTCAAAGAGGTCTTTTGCCGCAGTTTTTCCCAGTGCAATACTACATCTGTTTTCTTGACTGCTGCTTCCATGGATGTTGATTGTGGATCCAAGTAAAATGAAATCCCTGACAACTTCAATATTTTTCTCCATTTATTGTGATGTTTCTTATTGGTCCAGTTGTGAGGATTTTTGTTTTCTTTATGTTGAGATGTAATCCATGCTGAAGACTGTAGTCTTTGATCTTCATCAGTAAGTGCTTCAAGTCATCTTCACTTTCAGCAAGCAGATTGTGTCCTCTGCATATTGCAGGTTGTTAATGAGTCTTCCTCCAATCCTGATACCACATTCTTCTTCATGTAGCCCAGTTTCTCTGATTACTTGCTCAGCATAAAGCTGAATAAGTATGGTGAAATGATACAACCTTGACACACACCCTTCCTAATATTAAACCATGCAGTATACCCTTGTTCTGCTTGAATAATATATCTATATCTAGGTTCTTCATGAGAACAGTTAAGTGTTCTGGAACTCCTATTCTTCATAATGTTATCCATAATAAGTTATGATCCACAATGTCAAACACCCTTGCACAGTCAATAAAACACAGGTAAACATCTTTCTTGTATTCTTTGCTTACAGCCAAGATCCTTCTAACATCAGCAATGATATCCCTCATGCTATGTCCTCTTCTAAATCTACCTTGTATTTCTGGAAATTCCCTGTCAATATACTGCTGCATCCATTTTTGAATTATCTTCAGCAAAATTTTACTTGGGTGTAATATTAATGATGTTGTTTAGTAATTTTTTCATATTGGATCTCTTTTTTTTGGAATGGGCAAAAATATCGATCTCTTCCAGTCAGTTGCCCAGGTAACTGTCTTCCAGATTTCTTGGCATAAACAAGTAAGTGCCTCCAGCACTGCATCGGCTTGTTGAAACATCTCAATGGATATTCCATCAGTTACTAGAGCCTTATTTTTTGCAATTTTTTTTCAGTGCAGCTTGGAATTCTTCCTTCAATACCATTGGTTCTTGATTATATACTACCTCCATAAATAGCTCTAGTACAGGGCTAGGCATGTGGTAGAAGGTCAGTGAGTCCTTGCTAAGAGAGGACTTCAGGGATTATGAATGTGTGATATCGGATTGGCCCTCCTCCCATCTACATTCCTATTGTTTGCTCTGAGTCAGGTTCATCTCAGAATCCATTTCATCATCCATGCAGCCACATTAATATATCTGACATTCTAATCTACAGACCATACCTATAACCAAGTATGAACTCCACAGCAACATCAAAGCTCAGATGTGCAGCTCATAAGGAAACATCAGAGTCCCCATGGCTTGGTACTCCCTGCCAACCCATCTGTGAGCAAATCTCATCCTTCTTTTATGGTTTTCATTGTGCCTACCTTGTGGTTGGGTGCACCCTCCCTCTTCCCTTCCTGCAGCTCTTCCCCCACTTCTGGGTGCAGGGGATGACAGACGTGGAAAGATACAAGCAAAGAAACCTATCAAAAGGCTCTGCATGTGGGTGCTCAAGCTGAGGACCAAAACCAGTTGCCCTCAAGTCAATTTTTACTTTTGGTGACATTATTGGTGTCAGAGTAGAAAGGTGCTCCACAGGATTTTAAGTGGCTTATTTTTTTGGAAGAAGTTTATCAGGTTTTTCATCTGAGGATGCTCTGGAGAGACTCAAACCTGAACGTTTCAATCAGCTGAACACTTTGACTGTACTCCCCAGGGACTCCCAAGGTGGTGGACACAGGTTCAAGATAATATCTTTCTCTTCTTGGAAAGATCTTGGGCTGGCCTCACAGTCTTCCCCTGGGCCTCAGTTTCCTCATCTGCTTAAGGGCAGATTGAGTTACAGAACCTCTACAAGCCCTTCCAGTGTGAACCCCTAGAGACATCCTTCTCCTGTTGCAGCCCCCCGCTCTCCCTTCCCAGGGTTAGGTCTGGGTGGAAGCAGCATTACCTATAAATTCCATGTTCCCCAGGTGGAGAATGGCTGCCAGCAGCTTGCTCAGGTCCCAGTTCTCAGAGTCAGAAAACATGAGGATCTTCATGGCTGAGCGGATGTGGGCATAGTACTTGGCATCACTGAGACCCTCACAGAAGCTGCAGTTCCCCTGCAAAACAGGGCATAGCAGCTTATTGGGGCCCTCCACATGGCCTCATGAGGCATATTCCAATGTCTTCCCCCAGACCAGCAACCCCTTTCACTGCTGTCTTTTACTCATCTTAGTTCTTATGCCATGAGCTAAGAGAATGCCACTGAAGACATTCCCTGCCTGTACATCCACTCTCCCATCCAGGATCAGTGAAGCAAGGCTGTTTCAGGGACTCGGCCAAAAGACCTTGATAAGTCATCCTTCATAAACTATGTGTGAACCCTACAGGGCAACATCAAGGCTCTAGCTCAGAAACTGTAAAAATTGTGGACACATGGTCATGCTCTGCTGCCAGCTCTGACCTGGGTGAACTTGATCAAGACATTTTGCTTTTCTGCACATCAGCGTTCCCATATCAAAACAGAGAGCATCATACCTACTGTTCACAGAAGTGATAAAGATTAGAGAGAGTCTTAGTAAACAGCCCACTGAGTGGCACAAAGCAGGCACATATAGATATTCATTACTGATTCACTTATTTCTCAGATATTTGGCCAGACCCACCACATACACAAAGTAGGGGCCCCAGCAGGCCAAAGAGAGGAGAATTAATAAGAAATTTTGAGCCAGAACCTAATACACCTTAGTGCCTAGGTCCTAGGGCTCAAAATGGGGATCAGGCTAGAATCTGAATGTGTTCCTTACTCAAGGATGACCAGAGCTGTGCCAGGCAGCTAGAGAAAGAGGGCCAGGGAAATTCCCTCAGAGAACCTGTGCTTTCAGGATGAAGAGATCCCTAATGCTGAGGCCATCCTCCACTGTGCCCCACTTTTTCCACCCCATATCCTAAAGCTTAACAAAAAGAAAGAGAAGCAAAGCCTGGCATGAGAATGGAAGTGCAAGTGAGAACCCATGAGATCTGCTTAGAATTGTCAGTTTTATCATAGTTTGTAGTGTGGACCTGTATCTAGCCTTTAACTGCCATGAGCCTCCATTTGTACTCCTTCTGATAGGATCAGTGACAACTGCCTTACCAAACTCTTGAAAATAGAGTAAGTTCAGTCATTAAAAAGTGCTTTTCAAGGGCCACTGTGTGCCAGGCCCTGTACTACTTGCTGGAAATTCCCAAGTGGAAATTCTTAAGTGTGTGCACCCAAGGGGACAGGTAAGCAACACATTGCTTCATCCAAGATGTCAATAATGAGACCACAGAATGGGAACAAGCTTACCCAGAAATGGGGATCACCTCCCAGGGGAAGGAACTAGGAACAGGGCAGTTTAGGCCAAGGACAATATGAGCAAGGCCACCAAGGAGGAGGCCCCAAGATGTCGGTACCTAGGCTGACAGAGGCAGGCTATACAGAGGTTGTAGTCAAGAGTTGAAGCAGAAGAGGTTGGCAAGTCAGATCATGAAGCCATGTCAAGAAGCTTAGATTTGTACCCTCCAAGCAATGGGAGTCACTGAAGAATTTTAACCAGAGACATTACACAGTCAGACCAGCAGTTTAGGAAGATAATTTTGGCTACATAGTAGAAGATAGATTAGAGGGTCAGAAAACTACTGCAACAGTCCAGGCAAGAGATGATGAAGGCCTTTGAGGTGTTGCACACAGAGGACAGGCATTGTATAGGAAAGATACTTGAGAGAGAGAACTCATCCATTCATTTGAACAGGGTGGCTATTTGTGCTACATTGTCCTAGGCAATGGAGCACAGCCAGGAACAATGACAAGACTTCCAGGAAGTTCTATTTTCAGGGACATCTATGAGGATGGGTGATCGACTATGAAAGTGAGGAGAGTTGAGGAGTGCAGATGACTCCCCAATGACACACTGGGGTGACATGAAGTCTTCAGCCTAGCAGGACAAAATGATTAAGTTTGTAGAGAAGGACAGTGGGTTCAGTTTGAGGCATAGAGGTAAAATTCAGTATCAGAAAATGAGGAGCACATCGAGAAGTGTAAATTTCTGTAATGTGATGCCAAAGACAGAAGTTAAGTGGGAATTTAGAGGCCTGGCAGGAGTTTGGGCTTTTCTGCAGAAGTATGCACAGGGTTTGAGAAGATACTTGTCTTTCTTCCTAAGCCTAGCCCACTTTCTCAATTTTTCACTGAGAGGAGAGGTGGGAAGGGAGTGTGGACAGGGTAGGCCTCACCATGGTCAAGTAGTGGTACTCAGAGGGCATTCCCAGGGACAGTAGCTTCTTCTCCTCAGCAGTCATCCCCATGAGCATGCAATAGAAGATGTGATAGTTCCGCTCTTCCTGGGCCTGGAGAGAGGCAATCCAGAGAGAAGGTTGTAAGCAATTCCCTAAGGCTATGGAGTCTTGGCACTGTTTCCCTGACCCCTGGCCCTCAGGACAAGTTCTCCCCAGCTGTTCCATGCCTCTGGCATTGACTCAAGGAAGGCTTGGCTGCCACCTTTATCATGGACTTCAAAGCCTGGCTCATCCCCACAGCTCAGAGCCAAAGGCTTCCTCTGTGGCTTCCACCTTCCTCTGTGGACTCACCCCATGCTATTTGTTCATTTGCATCTTATCTGCTCCTCACAGCCTGAAAGAGCCTGCACTCTGGTCATGTGTGAGTGAATTAAGGTTCTCTGATTCAGACTCCCGTGTGCTTTACAATCTGTCATAGAGTTTTCTTATTTTCTTTAGTAACTCACTAGAGATGTGATTCCCACAAAGTTATTTAAGCCTTTTATTTTTAAAAAACACAATTTATAAATTCATTCCTGGTGTAAATTCAAACATTCCTAAAGAATATAGTGATAGGACGTCTGGTAAGATGGAGGAATAGGCAGATAAGCGACACAGACCCTCTTCAACAAAGAAAAGAAAAAACAATTGACAGAGATACAGAAGATAATCCTGGAACCCTGAGCTTTGAAAGGAACTACACAGAAGTGAATTAGGCACCAATTAGTGGAAAAACCTGAATGAAAAGAGTGCATACAGAGACAGTCAGAGCTGCGGACTGTCAGCTACTCTGAGGAGACCAACAGCCTAAATACTTCCAAGTGGTGTTGGGACCTGAGAATTGACCTAAAGATCAGTCCCAGTCACCAAGGGCTGCAGGGACAATGGCTCTGGAGGCCTATGACTAGGAAGGGAAACAGCAAGGAGGGAGACAACCTGAGCTGTGGACTTTCTGCTGTCTGGAGAGTGCAGCCATTTTGATTATTTACGCATGGCATCTATTTTGGATATTTAAAGTGACCGAGGGCACAGTCATTTTGAATGTTTATAAGCAGTGGCCATTTTGGTTATTTAAAGTGACCGAGGGCACAGTCATTTTGAATGTTTATAAGTGGCAACCATTTTGGATTTTGAAGTGATAGCATTCTCATTTGGATACCAGGGACCTAACAAGTCCGTTTCTTTGCCAGGGTTGGCAAGGACATACAAGAGGCTGACAAAGGAAAGGAGACAGGTGGTGAGTGTATAAGTACTGTCAACTAGTGAATAGAGGAGCACAGCACAGTACCCTGCCTGTATAGATAACATACAAAGAAAACAAAAATTGTGGGCAAGTCACTCCAACATATAATCACCAAATAAATATAAACACAAAACCATCATAATGCCTCAGAGACAACAGAGCATTACAGTCCACACAAAGAAGCAAGATAAAGCAGGAGAAACAAGGGACCAGGATACAGACCCAAAACTCATCCCTGAGGAAGACACAGCATTGGAACTCCCTGATAAGGAATTCAAAAGAATTATATTTAGGAATCTTCAAAGGACTGAGAGACAGACCAAGGAAAACACAGAAAAAACCCTAGAAAAATTTTAGAAGAAAATACAAGAACAGAATGACAAAATAAATGAAAAATTAGAAATGATTCTAAATCTACAGGTAGAAATCCAGAAGATTAATACTAAATTGTCAGAAATAGATAACACATTGAAAGGGCAAAGGAGTACAATTGATGCAGTGGAAGACAGAATTAATGACATTGAAGACAAATACCTGAATACTTCCTTGGAAAGGGATCAATCAGAAAAAAGGTCAAAACAAAATGAAGAAAGCCTAAGGTTCGTGTGGGATACCATCAAAAGGAATAACCTATGTGTCATTGGAATTCCAGAACAGGAAGAGAATAATGAAATGACTGAGAAAATTGTCCAAGATTTGTTGGAGGAGAATTTCCCTGATATGGTGAAAGATGAGAATATATCCATCCAGGAAGTCCAGTGAACCCCAAACAGTATAGACCCCAAAAGAAAAACACCAAGACATATCATCACCAAACTCACCAAAACCAAAGACAAAGAAAGAATCATGAGAGCAGCACGGGAAAAACAAAAAGTTACCTACACGGGGCAGCCAATAAGACTAAGCTTGGATTTCTCGACAGAAACCATGCAGGTGAGAAGACAGTGGGATGGTATATATAAAATGCTGAAAGAAAAAATTTCCAACCAAGAATTATGTACCCAACAAAACTGTCCCTCAAATATGATGGTGAAATTAGGACATTTCCAGATAAGCAGAAATTAAGGGAATTTGTTAAAACCAGACCAACCTTACAAGAGA